CCGACGAGCAGTGCCCTGGCCAGGGCGGGATGGCTCTGGGGTCTCCTCGCGGGGCTGGGGCACCTCGGAGCTGCGGTGTGGCAGCCCCCCCAGCAGGCCGGAACGGTAAAAAATCTTAAGGCCTCCCTGTTTTATCACGCACCCCAGCCTTTGGCAGCTGCCGCGCTCCGCAGCCAGCTGCTGCTCGCCTCTACCTCCCAAAGGGCTGGGTATCCTTCTTCCCCACGTCTTATCCGTGGGTGTCCCCATCGCTGGCGTCACTTCTGCCATTCCCGCCCAGGTATCACCCTACACTCAACCTGCCCCACCAAACAGCCCTGCTACTACAGTTACGGGGCAACCTCAGGCTTTCTTACAGTACAGATCTTACATTTCAGGCAGGCTGCCCTTCCCTCCCCAGCGCCTGCAGGCTGGGATGGGTCTCGTGAGTCCTCGAGGGACGGCGATGCTGCTGCCCGAGGCGGTGTCTCCCTGCCAGCGCCTGGGCAGAGCTGTGCAAGGAAGGGGTGAGCCGAGCTGAGCCCCAGGCAGGTTTGGAGGGTTTGGAGCTGTGGGGACGAAGAGGATGTTGGTCCTCGGCAGAGGACAGCCATCTCTGCCTGGCCCTGGGGCTGCAAGCTGCAAGCAGAGCTGCCCCGTGCTTGGCTCTGAGAAGATGCAGGAGGGCTGGGAGCCTCCTCCTCGCCCCGTGGGTGCTGGGTGTTGTGGTGCTGGGGCCAGTTACATGCATTTGTGATGCCCTAGTGTTATGGGGATGTGCTGAGCACCCCCAGGAGAAGATCCGAGCGTGGCTGAAAAGGGCACAGGGGCTCTGGCCCCACATCTGGTGGGCTCGCAGGGGCGTGTGGGCTATAGATGCCGTGGTGGTGTGGGTGGGGCGTGAAAACAGCCCAGGACTGGGGCCGAGTGGGGAAACAGGAAGTGACTTGTTTTCTTGGTGAACGTTTGCTTTCGTTTTCCCCCCCCCGCCCCCCAGCAGAACAGACTTTGTGGCACCGTCGGCAGGCTGGGGACTGAAGGGCAATGGCAGGTAAGTATGACCAGCGGTGCTGGGGCTCAGTGGTGGGATGGGGTCCTGCCGGGGTCCTGCTCTGGTTCTGCTCACCCGAGCCAGCCCAATGCACAGGGACACAGCACAGATGCAGGCTGGGGCCCTGGACTCATCATCCCTGAGTAGCTGGGGACCTGCTCCTTGCAAAAGTCACCTGGGACAATTTCTATGGGTGTGTGGGAAACGGGGGAGGTGGGTGATGGCAGGGGAAGCCCCTGGGGTGGGCAGTGAAGGAGGGAGCAGCACCCTGGGTGGGCAGTGGGGGAGCTGGAGCACCCAGGGTGGATGGTGGGGGAGGGATCAGCAGCTGGAAGGGGGCAATAGGGAAGGGGGTAGCACCCAGAGGAGGCAATGGGGAAGAGGGAGCACCCGGAGCAGGTGGTGGGGCAGCAGGAGCTGTGGCATTGGGTCTCCGGGCACTGATGAAGCCACCCTGCAGATGAGCTGCTGCTGAGCGTGCGGACAGCCTTTGTGGAGCGTGTGAGCAAGCCAGTGATCTCTGGGCTGCTGGATGAGCTGCTGGCCCAAGGGGTGCTGAGCCTTGACGAGGTGGACGAGGTGCAGGATAGATACACGGTGCGCACCGACAAAGCCCGCTGCCTCATCGACAGCGTGCGCCTGAAGGGCCCCAGGGCCAGCCAGATCTTCATCGACAGCTTCAGGAGGCGCGATGGCACCTTGGCAAAGCAGCTGGGCCTGCATGCTGAACCAGGTGAGAGATGTGGGGCTGTGGTCTGCCCGCGGCCATGCTGGGGCTCCCAGCACCTCTGGTGGGGTGCTAGAGGGGGGCCTGGCCCTGGTGAGTGTCCGAGGCCTGGAGGCAAGAGGCAGTTGGGCATCCCTGGTGTCACTGCTCTGTGGCACTGAGTCCCCCTTGCCATGCAGCGATGACAGGTCTCTCGGGGGTGGCCGTCCCCCACGGAGCTGAGCAGGGACCTCCAAGGGGCAGATCCCAGCTCTGCTCATCTGTCTGTGCCATGCAACAGTCTCCTGTTGCTGCAGGTACTTCCCAGTATAACTGTGGGGCTTTCTGCTTGCAGGGTCCCCTGGTGCACAGCTGGTCTCCCCCAACACTGAGGCCTCCTGCTCTGGGCCCCCCGTCAGCATCCAGGGCCAGCAGTGGATCCAGCAGTGCTCCCTGAGCGAGTACCAGCGCATCAGGGACACAGAGGGAGACCAGGTGCTGCAGGGCAGAGGAGATGAGAGGAGGGTTGGAGCGTGGCCCGGCCACCCTGCCGGAGTGGGCAGGGGCTTGCTGAGGGGAACCAGGGTCTTTGCTGACCCAGGAGCAGGGCAGGAGATGTGGAGAGATGCCCCAGGGACAGGGAGATACGGTTGCTGCACCTGTGAGCCTTCTCTGCTATTAGCTGCCTCATAAGAAAAGGCCCCTGCTCCCACCCACGACTGAGCACTGCCTCCCTCCGTCCTCACAGATCTACCCCATCCACCTGCCACGGGAGATGCGAACCCGTAGGGCCCTGCTCATCTGCAACATCGAATTTGAGCACTTGAGCCGTCGGAATGGGGCTGAAGTGGATGTGGAGGGGATGACGAAGCTGCTGGAAGGGCTGGGCTACGTGGTGGACATCCACCGCAACTTAACTTCCCAGGTAAAGGACTGTGCAAAGCAGCTGCCACTGGCCCCGGGAGTGGCACAGAGACCCTTCTTGCCTGTGTTGGTGATGGGGGGCTCAGGTACCACAGGGACACCTCTGTCCCCCAGTGGCAGTGGCTCCTGCTCACAGCTGGTGGCTGGGTCTCCACACAGCTGGTCACAGGTGGCTGATGTTCATTTCTGGTGCTGATTTGTAGGGGATGGCTGAGGTCATGAAGGATTTTGCAGATCGCAAAGAGCACTGGACTTCGGACAGCACCTTCCTGGTCTTCATGTCCCACGGGGTCAGGGCTGGGCTCTGCGGGACCAAGAGCAGAGACAAGACCACAGACATCCTTTCCCTCGGCACCATCTACAAGGAATTTGACAACAAGCACTGCCAGGCGCTACTGGGCAAACCCAAAGTGGTCATTATCCAGTCCTGCCGTGGAGGTGAGTCCCTGCTACAAGGTGCCTGCGAGGCGAGCAAGCTGGCCAGGCTCTCCCAGGGCTCATGGGCCCTGAGCATGAGGTGGGGATGGGATACCCCATCATCGCTGATGGCTGGCCCTGCCTTCCTAGGCACCATAGGGTCCGTGATGGTGAGCGACTCTGCAGACCCTGCCATGCCTGCTCCCAGCTCGGCTCACATGATCCCTGCAGGGCTGGAAGATGACGCAATCTGTGAAGTCCACCTGGAGAGTGATTTTGCCACTTTACATTCCTCCACGCCTGGTAAGCTGTTCCTGGAGATAGTTGCCCTGCCTGAGGGCAGGCAAGGGTGACAGGACTCCAGTTCCTGATGCTATGGGTCTCCTCCACACCTCTTCTTCCTCGGGGTGGGTTGCTGGGGGTCCCCTCCATCCGGTCACGACTTGGGCATGGCTCCAACAGCCTCTGGAGAAGTCAGTGTCCCCTGATGCCAGGGTACAGGGCTGCTCCAGGACACCCACAGATCCCCTTTAGCGGCACCAGGGCCAGAGCTTTGTGCCCTTGCCTGGCTGCCTTTCCTCACCCTGGCTCCAGCGTTCCCCACCGGCTCTGCCTGCACTCCTTCCCCAGCTGATTTATCTCACCGCAGTGGCTGGCCAAGGGAAATTGTCTTCTCCTGCTGGGTCACGGATTGCTCCAGGCTGTGCCAGCCTGGCAGCTGGCATGGCTGAGAGCATGGGAGAGCAGAGAGGCTTGAAGAAAATAAGTCACTTCTGTCTTCCCTGGGATGCTCTGTCCTTTTCCCATGCAGCGGGTTGGATGGGCCAAATATAATGATCTCGCAGAAAGTGCCCCACTCCTGCTCCAGCACCCAGCATTAATCACCATTGCAGTGAGGGACGCCAGTGAAACCACACTTGGCATCTTCTGTCTCCCCAGACACTGTCTCCTGGAGAAGCCCAGTAGAAGGCTGCCTTTTCATCCAGCGCCTGATAGAGCAGTTTCGAAACCACGCCTGTGACAGCCACTTACAAGAGATCTTCCGAAAGGTGAGGCTTTGTGGTTAACTGCAGGTATGCCAGCAGATGCAGCCATGCCAGTGGTCAGAAGTACTGCTCAGAGCAGAGCTCGGGCCAGGGCAGGCCATTCCCCCGCAGGCCCCACAAAGGGGTTCTGGTTTGGCCTGGGAAGATGCAGATGTCAGCACCTGGCCACATGGTGGGCACGCAAGCGCCCAGTGTGTTGGCACAGCCCATGGCATCCCTTGTGCCACCAGACGCATGCCTGGGAATGCCCCTGGGAGTGCCTCCTGACTCCCTGCACCCTTCCCATTCTGGGAACGGAGCCGCTCTCACTTCTCCCTGCTGTGTCTCTCACCCCAGGTCCAGTATTCCTTTGCAAAATTCCCTCGGCAGTTGCCATCACAAGAACGGACTACGATGCTCAGGAAGTTCTACCTCTTCCCAGGCCACTGATCTCCTGCCCATGGTGAGTCTCTTCACCTTGCATGTTTGCAGCAGCGTTTGCACCCCAAACCCAAGAGGAGGAGCAGGGAGAAATTCCCCACCTCTCCTGGGCTGCAGACCTTGCGGCTCAGGCGGGATACCCACAGGACCTGTGTGCTGGTAGCCGGGGCTGGGCAGTGGCCTGACTCCATCCCCATCTCCCAGCTGGCCGTAGGAGACAACAGGCACTCAAGGAACTCATTTCAGTTGCCCAAGTCTCAGGAGCTTCTCAGTCTAATGTTCTTCACAGGTGAAAAAATAATAGACAGACAGCAAAAGTGTTTGAATTTGCAGGTAACCCAGCAGAAAGCTCAAGCTCAAGGCAAATGCAGCCCTGCTCCAGAGATGCACTTCTTCGGAAAAGAGGAAAAGCCAAGAACAGCTCTGCAGAAACACAGTGAATCTCCAAACCAGCTACGTGTGCCCCCTCTGCTAAGCGATTACAAGCAGACCTGGAATAAAATAGCCCTTGGTCTCCTGTCCTCCCTTCCTTCTGTGGCCTCCCACCAACCCCAAACTGAGCAAACTCTGCCCAGGGAGCAGCAGAGACCCCCGGCTCTGGAGCACCAAATGCAAGGCTGGTTCATGTCTTTCCCAACTGTCCCCAGACGGAACCTGTCCCCAGTTGCAACAGACAATCCATCACCCCCTGAGCTGCTTCTGCCCCATCTCTGGCTCTACCCATTCACCTGCAGTGGGTGGATGGTTGTTATGGCCAGTGGTAGCTGCCCTTAGGTTGCCTTCTCGGGGTCGCTGAGCAGGCAGGAGGTGAGAAATGGAGGGAGCTCAGGGGAGAGGGGGCGCCCGCCTTGAGGCGGGGAGGGCAGGCGTGCTCCAGGGGGATTTCTGGGCCTCCCCCTTGCAGGACCGCAGCATCTCCTTGCTCAGGATGCAGCTTCCCCCACTCCCCCACCCTCCCGCTCCCGCTGGGAGCCAAGAAAGATCCCCAAACCTGCATCTTGCGTGCACTGCTCTCAGAGCTCGGCCATCACAGGCCCAGCCCAGTTGTCACCTCCCACCAGTATCGCTGCTGGTAAGCCAGAACCCCTTCCTGTGCCCACCACTGCCCTTCCCGTCCCCCACAGCCATATCCAAACCATTCTGCCTTGGCATGGGTTCAGCTTTATTGCATGTTCTGCAAAGTCACAGCCAGATCCACAACCGGTGGTCTGGCAGCAGGAAAACGAGGGCTCTCCTGTCTCCTCCCAGCCTCCGAGATGCTCCAGCGCATGCAGGAGAGGCTGTGCAGGAAGGGCAGGGTCCTGGGTCAGGGCCAGCCCACGTCCCTGGGAGGCAGCAGGAGAGCTCAGCGGGATGGAGGTGTCTCTCTGCTCCGGCTCCAGGCGACCCGGGGTGGGAAAAGGCCTTGCAGGCAGGATCAGACCACAAAGTCAGCAGCTGGTCCAGACCGAGCCCCTTTTCACGGAGCCCCACGTCACTGCCCAGAGATCCTCGGGTCCTACATGGTGCCTGCAGAAACCTTGGTCCCCCAGCGCTACAATGGCGGCAGGAAATTGAGGACAGCAGTGATGAATTCTTCAAATTTGTCCTGATGGACTATGTGGCCTGCACCTTTGATGTACTGGATGTCCGCCCTGGGGAAGAGGCGTTGGATCTCTGGGTGGTCTTTGGAGCTGCAGGACAAGGGAACACGCCGCGGGAAGCGTGGTCAGAGGCCCATCCAGGTGCCTTCCCTCGCCCTCCCCAGGCAGAGGCAGATCCCAGGTCTGACCACGTCCCCTTCCCGGCTGGGAGAGCCTGGGGCTGCCCCCAGATTGCCCCTCGCTCTCCAACGCGTTGGTGTCACCGGCTTCTGGAGGCAGAGAGCTCGCTCCAGGACCTTCCCTGCCTTGGGGTCTTCCTCCCACCCTGGACAGCTGCAGAAGAGCACAGGGGGTCAAACCACAGATGCCCAAACGCTTCTCTCCAGTCCCACCTGATATAGGGTGAGTTGGATCCTCCCAAGAAGAGCGCGGGGCCAGGATATGGCTTGTGGAAGACAGGGAAGTTCAGTATATCTGCCAAGTGGTGGGAAATAGCCTCCAGGTTCACCCGCCAGATGTAGCGGCCCTCTGCCTCCACCAGGTTGGTGAGGAGGAACTGTCTCAGCTGCGGGAGCTGCCACAGAAGGGATCATACGCTCCTCAGTAACGGCAACCAGCCCTCAAGATGTCCTGGCACCCTCCGTCCTCCTCTCCACCCCTCCTGCCTGTCCCCCATGCTGAGATGTCCCCCAGCGGCAAGTGCACAGGGATGGGAAGAGTCCTGCCGGGACTGTGGCCCTAAAGCCCCGTGCTCCAGGCCCAGGGACAGGCTGGGAGAGAAACCCCATCCAAATAGCAGGACTTCCTACCTGGACCACCGGACGCAGCTGATCATCAGCCAGCTGGCGGGCCGCAGAACGGGACAGGCCATCTGGGATCTTCACCGATTTCATGGCAGAGATGTAGGCAGAGAATTCGGAGACGGGTGCGGTTGAGATGGGACTAATGTCTACGGAGATGAGGCGCTCCACCAGGTCTGGCTGGGGACACAAGCAGGGCAGATGGATGCCAGCTGCCATCTCCCAGTGGGACTGGGCACAGGGCTCTGCTCCCAGTCAGACTCCTGGGAGGCTTTTAGCTCCCTCCTGCCTCAGCAGAGAGCTCCACGTGCCCGTCCCCGGGCCACGGGCGATCTCCAAGCTCCCTTGCAATCAGCACCGGAGGGACAGGGCAGAGCGCAGGCTGGTGGGCAGAGGCTTGCTCCCGCAGGCGCAGCGCCCCAGCCG